CTTCTTCCTCTGGACCGCATTCAGCGGCGTGCCGTTCGGATTGTTGGATGTCCGGATGTTTCAAACCGGCTCGACACTTTGGCAATGCGTAGAGATGTAGCTTCATTGTGCATTTTCTACCGCTTATACCACGGGGAGTGCTCTGAGGAATTGTTTGACCTGATACCTGCCGCATCTTTTCGCCATCGACCCTCACGACAGCATATGCATCCCCATCATATAGATGGTTGGCAGGCCACAACTGTGCGGTTCTCACGTAGCTTCCTGCCTCGCACAGCAAAACTGTGGAATGATCTGTCGTCGGCGGTATTTCCGAACCGATACGACCTTCAAACCTTCAAGAGAAGAGCGTACTCCTTTTTAAAGGGCCGGCAACGCACCTGTGACTCTTCTGGTGTTGCGGGTGTCCATGGGCGGCGCTGATCGCTTACCATCAGGTGATCCGTCTGCTCGTTTGCCTCCTATTCCATAAAAAAAAGACCCGAGACAACAATTTGTGGATCACACAAAGATTACCCGCTACACGTTGAGCGGCAAAAGGCTGTCGCGTAACGTGGTGTGTATCCGTCACAGAAATTGTCGGTCCTTCAGTGCCTTGAGCCAAATACCACTTTAGCACTTGTCTACAGAGAGTGTAGAAAACTAAATATAAGTGGATGACACTGACAAGTGTCAAAATTTACGTCAATTCCATATAATTTAGTTTTCTATTCTACATGTAGACAAGTGCTAAGTGGCATTTGGCTACAGCTACAGAGCCCCCTGACACGGTATTGACCATGGTTACCTCGATGTTTACACATATATTATAATATTGTAAGTTTTCTATATATTGTATTTCATTATTATACAATTATGGCCAGTCTATAAAAAGTACAAAAATGTATTAATAAGCTGTAATATAAGTTTAGGTTTTAAGTATAAAAAACTGGTTGAAACTCGAGGTTTTGCCGGCGTTGTAAATAGAAAACAGCACCATCTAGTGTCGTCAAAAGTAGGAAAACACTCACATGTAAAGAGCGCCATCTAGTGTCGTCAACTGTAAGTAACATGTTTATGTGAAATAAAATAATTTGAAAATCTTTACATTGGTAGTTTCATTTATACTAAAATTACATAGACAGCAAAGTGATTTAGTATGTAGGTAAGAAAATAAAGATTGTTTCAGTACAGAGCCAGTAACCAGTGGTTGTCTAGAGCCGACTGAGTTACAAAAGATATGGGTTCATTACAAAGCATATAATTTAGTATAATAATAGCTACTGTCTCTGTACTGAATCTTTGTTTTCTTACCTAAATAATTAACTAAATAACTGCCTGCCTGCCTCGTTGGCCGAGTGGTCGCAATTGCGACAGCCAGGCAAGGGATCTCGGGTTCGATTCCCGGGTCGGGAAAAGTTTACTGGGCATTTAAAAAAAATCTCGTCATAACATAAATAGAGAAAAGTGGGTGTTACATTGTATAATGTACACCTCTGCCTACGGGGATAAAAGGCGTGATGTTGTGTTATGTTATGAAACTAAATTACTTGGTAGACTGTTAAAATTATTAATGCCACCGCGCGGTCGCGGCGATGTCGCGCCCGCGCATACTGAATGAGGAAGAACCCCTCTGTGGTTCGAAACTAGTAGAGCTTTTCTCAGTATATTCACGTGAGTAACCCGCGATTTTTAGTTAATAAAGAATTAACCGTCCAAAAATCCAAGCTATGAACTGTCAGATTTAGGATATTAGGTCAAAACAAGGTTCTGTTTGGTTTTAAGAAATAAAACTCTTTGTCATTCGATATTAAACTTTAATTTATGGTATAAAAGATTATTTTTCATTGCTGCGATCAAAAAGTTACAAATATATACAATATAAAAGTTATTATACAATTAAATTGCCTTGTTTATTGAGTGGCTGTAAGCGCTACTGTGATGTATGATATGATCACAGGTTCGGACTAATTTATATTTATAAACCGACTTCAAAAAGTAAGGCGATTCGCAATGTGACCTGTTTTTTCGTTAATAATTTTAGTTGTGACTGAATTATAATTTCTAGTATAGAGATGGCGAACCATTGGCACGTGTGGTATTGATGGCACGGAACACAATATTTTGGGCAAGAGAGTAAAGTCTGAACACAAAAACAATGATTATAAATCGGCAACGCCTTTGTGAGAATTGGGTACTTTCCTTAATCAAAAATGAATTTTTTCGACTATTCAATACAATCAAATATTAAAAAATAATCACACTTTCATTAATTGATTTTATGACTAACAAAATTTTAGTATATATTTCCGGCAAATTTATAAGAAATAACACATAACATCACGCCTTTTTATCCCCGAAGGGGTAGGCAGAGGTGCACATTTCGGCACTTAATGCCACTGTACAATGTAACACCCACTTTTCACTATATATGTTATAAGAAATAAGTATGCTGTTTGACGCAAAAAAAATCGTCACGTCACAATACACAATCTCGTACAAAATTCATAGAAAACTGTTGTTTTTGACAGTTCGAAATAAGTATTGAATTTGACTAGTTGGCGAGTACCCGATTGTCATAGACTAATATATATATCGGGTACCAATTGTCTAGTATTTCAGGTGTACTTGACTACAGTAACAGATTATCATCAGGCCTTCTGTCACTGCTTGGTAATAAATAGTATGAAAAGAAAAGTAGAATTAATTTGAGTACGTTGACGCCCTCAATACATATTTCTTCAAAGTAATTGGCACGTAAATGTGTAAAGGTTCGCCATCCCTGGTCCAGTATCCAACTAGACAATCGAAACTCTTATGAGAATTTCTAGATCCAATAAAATAACACAGAGTATTTAGACACATATTATTACGAATTCATAAACGACAGTAGCTTACTAGCACTCAACAAAAAAAAGTACAAAATTTATTCTTAAACACGAATTGTAATAACGTCATCATTTTCCATGCTACAATATGTACATAAAATATAGAGGTACAAAATTTGGCATCAGTTCAAACACAGTCCATTAATAAAATGACAAAAAATATAATGTAACATAAACTATACGTTTGGGGAACAACAGTCAACATGATATATAAAAAATATCTTAATTTAGCATTAAATGAACACATTAGAAATAATTATAAACTGATAAAGTAATCTATCATTGTAACACCTGATGGTAAGCAATCAGCGCCGCAGAACTGTATTATCCTTAAGGGTGCGTCTACATCTGGCGAATGCTCGGCGCAGCTAGCGGGCCGCACACGCGTGCATTTAACATTATTATTTATATGAACCTCGTATAGGTTAAGCACCAAAAAATTGCCGTGACTGCACGCAGCTCGAGAGCGGCACATTCACGGCGCATTCGCCAGATATGGAGGCACCCTAAGGCGCTCTAGACAAGTGCCGGGCGCCAGGTTACAGAGGGGCGCCGCGAGACGCGCGTGTCCAACTGCACATAGAGTGACGGCGACGACTAAAATAAATGAAGGGCGCCAATGACGTGCTTGTCTAGGCCGCTTTCTAGGTTTAATCCGCCGCTGGCACTGCATATGGACCCGCAATACCAAAGGTAAGTGCATTAGCGGCCTTTTTGGTACGGTATTCAGCAAAAAGCAGCAGCATGCGCGGTGTAACACTGACTTTGTGCCAACCCCGAAATCAAACCCATTACCCACGGCACTGGTAAATGAACCGTGCGTTTTAACACTATTGGAAGCAAACTCAGTTTCTAGCAGAGAACGCCGTGAGCTCTTAATGCAAGTAACAACACCTTGTCTGTTGTTGTCTGGACTTTAAAAGAGACTGACCTCTGAGTTTGTTTCGACATTTCTTCTCAGAGTAGTCAGTTAGGAAATGTCGATCTCATCGTTCGCTTGATAAAATTGACGTGTAAAAGTGCTGCCTTGTAGCCTATTTGCAGAAATAAATTCACTTGTTTCACCAACGCAAGGGCCGACGCTAGCCAGTAGGCTGCGCGACATCGCCGCGACCGAACACGCTGCTAATGAGGAAGAGCTCTACTGTGGCTCGAAACTATTAGAGCTTTTCTCAGTATATTCACATGAGTAACCTGACAATAGTTATTATAAATAGTAAATTAAAAGTCGGACCATAGACGTTCACTTTCATGTTTTGTTTAACATAACCTTAATAAATATAAATTCATCGATCTTATAATAATTATAAAAGATAATCTAAGTAAGTAAGTAGCCAACCAAGTTATTCAATATCCAGGTAAGAAAACAAAGATAGATTCAGTACAGAGACAGTAACTATTGTTATACTATATTGTACGCTTTGTAACGAAGCCATATCTTTTGTAACTCAGTCGGCTCTAGACAACCACTGGTTACTGTATCTGAGGCTTTAGTACGAGTTTCTTTTTGTTTAAAGTAATCGAAACGAGACGGCGATCTGTGCTCTGATTGGTTGGTTCATTGGCGCCGGCCAATCAGAGTGCCGAACGCGAACTCATTTCGAATACTTTAAATGTAAATGAAATTCATACTAAGACTTCTGTACTGAATCAATCTTTATTGCCTTACTTGTACACTAAAGGACTTGGCTGACTAAAAATAAATAAAAAAAATTTTTTATTCTTGACTTTTTTCATGAAATGGCACAATTTATTGCTGAAATACAAATCTATTTTGATTCTTTTACGTATGTAGCTTATATAAACTGGTATTTATTATATTAGCTGAAGATTTTACAGGTTTTTATGAGATTATTTTGTAAAAAAACTTTATTTTTTATTTATTGGCCCTTAAAATAGCTTCAAACCAGTTGAGTAAGCCATACCACTTATGCAGAAAAAAGTTTATTCAAAACACTCATTTATCTATCACTTTAAAAACCTTCTGCTAATACATTAAATAACATTTACAAAAAACAAAAAATGTTCAACAAAAACATTACAATACAAACTAACGCCATCTATTGACGTTACCTATCAAACTTCTCTTCACCGTTCAGTGGTACCACGGTGTCATTGTAGATGGCGTTACTGCGTTCCTGTAGCATCTTTTGCGCTTCAGGAGTAGCCTCTAAAGTTTTTTGAGCTGAAAAATAAAAATAGAGTATGTAGGTGGCGCTCTGTAGTTTTTGTATCATATTAACACAAAAAAGTAACCATTGGACTTGGATTGGACAAAGGACAAGATTTGAGCATTAATCACCACGCTTGCTCAATGCGGGTTGGCGATTTCAAACTTATAATTAGAAATTATAAGCCCAGGTTTCCCCACGATGTGTTCCTTCACCGTTTGTCAGTGGTGTCTGAATAATCTTAGAAAGTACATATAACTCGGAAAAAGTCACATTGGTACGTGCCGTTGGTAGGTTTCGAGCCCGCATGAGAAGCGAGCGTCTTAAACCTCTGAGCACTCCGAGAACACTACGACAGTTTCTATATACCATGGGACAAACGTGGAATTTAATGCATGCATATTGTATTGCGAAGCAGTTATGCTAGCTAAGGAGAAGGCGGGACGCGTGAGGCTGCCTCCTCGCAACCCAGCCATCGCGAAGGACACACCGGGCGTCGGGGATCGCGGGACGATCTCCGGCCACCGTAAGCGCGGGCCTGCGGACGGCGAGCATGGGTGGCTCCCCGTCCGACCAGAAACAGACCCGAGCGTACGGCGCGTCGCGTTCCGCGCGCGCCTCAAAGAGCCATCAGACCACCACAGATGGGGCCCAACAGGTTGCCGATGCCAATTCAGAGTCGCGGAGAACCTAACGGGTAACCGGGGCTCCGACTCGAAGTGCAGGAGTAGGAACGGGGTGGTTTTTAGTCAGTAAGAGTCTGACACTCCCTCCCGCTTTACCCAGGCGGGAGCAACCATTCGATGATTTTCCCCCTTAAAAAAATGCATATTGTATCTGTATATGTATATGTATATATATGTATACCTGCTCTCTCGTCGCTTCTCGATACAACAGCGAATAGGACCGCGTGTATGCCTGATCCTATGATGGCAGTAACCGCTAGCACCCTGAAAGAGGTCCGGCCTCCTAGCCAACTGTACAGTTGACCTCCTACTAAGGATCCTATAGCAAAACCTGGAAAAACCATATAAGAATAAGAACGTTTATTTGCACGAAGTATGGTAATTACAGGTTATAATAATTATAAAAAAATAGTCCCACATACATCGCCTACTGTATTCGGCATGCAAAGTTAAGTTTTACAATATAATAAAGTTAAAATGTTACATTCAATAAAACCAATTACAAAAATGCTTACAACTGGGGTAACATAATTATTTCTCCTAACATATTATTATTACTTCTCTTCTTTATTCACATACTAGCTTTTACCTGCGGCTTCGCTCGTGTCACAAAAGGATAAAAAGTAGCCTACATGACATATACCAATACATACAGCGCCATCTATACCAATACTTGTACCCTCTTATTTAATCCAGACTTCTAACTTTACGTCTGCAAAAATTCAAAGCAATCGGTTTAGTAGTTACGGCGTGAAAGCGGAACAAACAAGCAAACTCACTTTCCAATTTATAATATTAGTAAGGATTTATCATTTTAGTGACTTACAAAATAACAACACACTTAATATTGCACACATTAAACTTTCATTGTCAGAAACTCATCTAAGGTGTAAAAGCAACTGTCGATTAGTAGTTTATTTAATGTAATCTTAAATTTATTTAAAGGCAATCTTATATGTTTAGGTATTTTGTTAAATATTTTGATTGATGTTATATATGAGTTTTTTGGCAAAGTGTGCTTCTACATCTTATTACAGCTATAAAATTTAATATCGAGTCATCTCTCTGGCCTTGTCGAGTATGATATAGTGCAACTTCTATGGATTGAAGTTCGATTTTCTGATTGGTTATGGTATTATTACGGATGCCCAATCCCCTCCCCCTTCCCAGATCCCTGAATCCCCAACAATCCTCAAATTCCTAATCCCCAAAAGGCCGGTAACGCACTTGTAACGCCTCTGGTGTTCCAGGTGTCCATGGGCGACGCCGATTGCTTATCATCAGGTGATCCATCTGTTCGTTTACCGCCTTATCCCATAAAAAATTCTGTTTTCTGGATTCCGCGAAGCCGGGGATTAAAGGCGTGATGTTATGTTAAGAATTACATTGTTACTTACCTACTCCATCGTCCATGCCAGCCACGATGCCTTGCACAGTGGCTGAATATCCTTCAGGAGCCACATGGGCCGCATACCCAACTATAGTAGAGTAGCATAGCGCGTATGTGGGACCTTGGAGTATACCCTGTAATTATCAATATCTATATTAATAACTAGATACTTCCGCGCGGTTTCACACGCTCTGCTCAGCTCCTGTTGGTCGTAGCGTGATGTTTTATAGCCTATAGGCATCCTCGATAAATGCGCTATTCTACACAGAAAGAATTATTCAAATCAGACTTGTAGTTACGGAGATTAGCGCGTTCAAACAAACAAACAAAAAAACAAACTCTTCCGCTTTATATAATAAGAGTTGTTCATACAATTTTAATATGTCTACTATTATAAGCTACTTACTTCCACGCGGTTTTACCCGCTATTTGCTCGTACGTTAATATTTAAAATATATAAGATAGTATAAGATAATAGTATAAGATACTAGCGGACCCGACAGACGTTGTCCTGCATATCCTCATACATATTTCAATGCATAAACAAAAATTAATTCAAATTAGTTGAGCCGTTTAGGATAATTAACCTAAACATCAACTGCAGCGCCATCTGCCGGGCTGTGAATCTAAACCATTCCCAGATCCCCTTGAACACACACAAAAAATTTCATCAAAATCGGTCCAGTCGTTTGAGAGAAGTTCAGTGACATACACACTCACAGAAGAATTATATATATAAAGATATGCGTACATTACGGCGCTTAACTCGTCGAGTACCGGTTTTGTAGACACAATTATAGAACAATAGGTTGCGGTCACCGGTGACCGCTTGGTGTTTGACAGTTTAATGCGTTTGTACAATGTAACACCCACTTTTCGCTATTTGTGTTATGAGTCCCATGTAATAGGGGTGAGCCTGTTGCCATATACCGGGCACAATTCCAGACTCCGTGCTACTACTGAGAATTTATAAATATACGATGTTATGTTACTCCGTCAACTTACCTCAACAAATACAAGATGCCAAGGATTCTGTATGAGTGATATACAGATCATTCTGATCCCGTAACACAGCAGAGAGACTGTTAAAGTGGTACCGTATCCAAAACGTTTTATTATTTTACCTAAAATTATAAACAACAATAATTAAGACAGTGTGGGAGAGCCATCATCATCAACAGCCTATAAATGCCCACTGCTGAGCAAAGCCTCTTCTCACACGGAGAAGGTTAGAGCGTTAATCACCACGCTTGCTCAATGCGGGTTGGTGATTTCAAACTTATAATTAGAAATTATAAGTCCAGGTTTCCTCACGATGTTTTTCCTTCACCGTTTGTCAGTGGTGTCTAAATAATCTTAGAAAGTACATATAACTCGGAAAAAGTCACATTGGTACTTGCCGTTGGTAGGTTTCGAACCCGCACCCTCATGCATGAGAAGTGGGCGTCTTAAACCTCCGGGCCACCACGACATTTTT